CACACACACACACACACACACACACATACATACATAACCAAGTGGGGGGCATAGTGTACAGGAACATCTGTGTCGAATATGGACTGGAAGCCCCGAGGTCAAAGTGGGGAACACCCCCAAAGGTGGTGGAGAATGACCGAGCTAAGATCCTGTGGGACTTCCAGATCCAGACAGACAAGATGGTAATGGAGAACCAACCGGACATTGTGGTGGTGGATAAAGAACAGAGGAAAGCCGTTGTGGTGGATGTAGCAATACCAAGTGACATCAGGAAAAAGGAGCACGAGAAACTGGAGAAATACCAGGGCCTCAGAGAGGAACTGGAAAAGACCTGGAAGGTGAAGACCACAGTGGTGCCTGTGGTCATCGGGGCCCTCGGGGCAGTCACCCCCAAACTGGAGCAGTGGCTACAACAGATATCAGGAACAACATCAGACATCTCAGTCCAGAAATGTGCAGTTCGAGGCACAGCCAAGATACTGGAGGAACCCTCAAGCTCCCAGGCCTCTGGTAGAGGACCCAAAAATAAATAAGTATTTCAGTTCTATGCAAAACCTTTGGATGGATGGAGAGCACAGTAAAAATGAATAGTTTTTTAAAATCTTATTCACATTTTCTAATGCTAAATTTGATAAAATGATCTGGAACTCGTAGTTTTATTTTTGACCATGCACTGAGGATCGATCGCTAATTGATGCATTCTGTAGCTTTGTGAATTTCCCCTGGAAATTTCCACTCAGGCTCTGTAAGAGGTGTGGGTTTGCCATCTAGTGGTTGCTCTAACATGATGCGACAAACGTCATCAAATAATGTTCTCTATTTTGTTTTGTTGCATTCCTCTGTTTAAGCTTTTCTTTAGGCTTGGAGTGTTTTCATTTTAATTATCAGCTTCTAACCTTAGCTGGACTGAAGCCAAGAGTGAAAACTTGTGATCAAGAAAGAACAAGTGTTTCCAGTTTATTGTGTCACACCTTAACATAAAAGCACGATGGGTGTATTTGTGACAGTTTGTTTTTGCTTCTTCTGCACATTTAAAGTTTAAATCCATGGTTTTACATGTTAAATTTTATTTCAGTTTTTTGTCTTTTTATCTATAAGGACCGAATGTATTCACAACGTGTTAAATGTGGTTGTTTGGTGACTGGCTCTTATTTCTTGGCTTACCCTGAATCAAAACTCATGCTACCTGAGTTTTTACATGAGGAAGAAATACTGGGGGAACGTGATATCAAGTTTCAGTAATCAGCAAATGGGCATTTGAGTTAGATTGTGATAGATTAGAACAAAATGGGGTTATGCCAAAATGGAGAAATTTGTTCTAAGGAACAATAATCTTTGTTCTGTTCTGTCTTGTTAAACATAGTCAGCTCCTCTTGCCTCCTTTTCCTTAGCTTCGTAAACCAGCTTTTATTGAGCAAGAGTGAATTTCACTCAGAAGCTGGTGTTTTCTTTTGAAATATATATATATATTTTGTCGTAGAGCAGAACGGATTTGTGCTTCCAGTCTTAAATTTGTCTATGCACGCATCGCATCTTAGTTATATTTGACACGAGTTGGCTAAATTAGGAAACGGATTCATATCTGTGTATAAATGTTTGCCTTTATGCTGATTGTTATGGTTTTATTTTTGGAAATATGCGATAACATAGGAAACATTTGATTAAATGATTGGGCTTTTACACTAAAAACCTTTCAAATAACATTTTTACCATGTTGCACAGCCTCAATTTAGGTAATCATAGGGCAGCAGGGGTCTCATAGTGGTCTTAAACGTGAACAGACCTCATTCAGTTTGATTATACATGTTTATATTTCAGTGCAGCCATATTGCCGAGGGAATAATGCTGTTGCAATTTATTGAGCATAATTGGCTCTGAGTATCAAAGTGAGTACCGGGATGCAGGTTTTTCCAGAAAAACAAGCAGAGCGGACTCACTCTACCTGTAATCGGATGTGACATCATCATGTTATGGTGTTAACAGGTAGCTCAAGTCATCTATGAAACTGGTAATTATGTGTCTTACTGCTGTTGTTCTTAGAAACACAGTTTCACAGCTCTCGTGTGGCGAATCCAAATCTAAGCAGTCTGAATCCCTGCTTCCCTGTGTCCCGTGTGACCTTCTCACAGCCCTTCATTTTCACCGCTAGAGGGCAGCAGGGATCTAACTGCAGGCGGCGGCGTGTTATATAAGCTGAGCCGCTGCTGTATAATGAAGTATGCCCATGATAACTCAGCCCTTTTTTACAAGTGGATGTGCTTGTGCACACTCCATTTCCATAAAAAGCTCCAGGATTTGCAGCATAGAAACCAATTTTCCACCTGATTCATTTTCACTTTGGATTTTGCTTGTTTTAATGAAGATGCTCCAACAGCATACGCCCTAAATGTTCACAATCGCTTTATTGGTTTGGCCTGAAACAGGTGAGGGGATAATATCGGAGACATTAGAGGAAGGTGCTTCTTTTTAAGGGTGGGTGGCCACTAACTGGGTTAGCACCGCCTCCTGAAAGCCCACCGGGATTGTAACAGGCTTATGTATTGCTTTGTTATGATGAGAAGAGGAAGACGGGTCTGTGCATGCTTTAATTAAGCAGTTTATTGCAAAATTAACTACAGTCAGAGAGCCACACATGTGCCAGTTAAGATATTTACAGTTTCCTGAATAAATTATCGTCGCAGTGTTCCTCGCCTCCCATCCGGTTGCCTCCGTTTCTCACGTGTGCACAGCCCTCTGACGGCTCTCTGTGATGACGTTCAGGCTAAGATCATCCCCCATGAAATTAGAGTCGGGGAGAAACTCGGGGAAGAAGTCCACAGGGGTCTCCAGGGTAGGAGAGGGTGGGTCAGAAAGCTCGTAGCGTTTGGCCGGTGCTCCACCCCTGAAGCCCCTCCACTCCTTGATCCACTGGTCCCTGGTAGAAGGGTCCATCCGGTCCAGCTGCCTGCCTTGTAGGAGCGGGGAGGGGGCGACAGAGTTCTTCAGCACATGAAACGTGTACCTGAGGGAAAGAGCGCGGTGATGAGAAAGTAGGCCAGTGAAAAACATATAGGCTTTTGATGTAAATCAGAGCGCTCTCTCTAAAAAATCAGCACTTTCAGAGGAAGCAGGGAGGAAGACGACTGAAGCAGCAGCTGATCCTCAACGTTAATATTAACATGACGCGTTTACAAATCTGCAAATGTAGTTGCAGTAAAGGGGAAAAAAAGATCTTTATCACAGTTATTGAGCTGAATAAGTCAAAAAGAAATGCAGAATAATATAATAGGTATGATCTAATTTACATGTTGAAAACATGCTAATAAGCTAATACACAGGTTGCAGCTATGCGGATGCTCCAAGTTTTATATTTGTAAGGCAAAGAGAAAGGAAACTTGGAAAAGTTATATGTCAAGCTATAATCCTTTCTATTTCTTTGCTTTCCATTTGTTGTGCTGACTGACTGATATAGTGAAATATATGAACAATTATATTAAGTTAAAACGCAGTTGGAGATGAATTTTTGACATTCAGCTCACAAAATAATTTTCCTTGTTCAAACTCATGAAAAATATGTGTCCTTTTTATAAAAAGTGGGACAACGCCTTCATAGCATTCGCTACAATTTCAGTCTTCAGCTATTTTGTAACTGAGTCTAAATTTAAGATGACAAATTCTGACATTTTTACTGTGTAATTGTTAATCTCTATAGTATATTATTTAAGGATTGTTCATTTTTTTATTCAGTAAGAACTTTTTATTACATTTTGAAGAAAAAATATAAAAACATTTATATACATTTTAAATTCTTTTTTTTTTCCAAATTTTTATACAATATCAGGCAGTTTCTATTGTCATTTTGTTTAAGGATGAAAGACAGATTTAAAAAAATCATTTAAAAAAAATTTAGTGCCTTATCAGTATACACTTTCAACAGAAAGTGTTGCAAAAATAAATTAGTGCAATAAATCACAGATGCAGAGAGGAGGACTGTACCTGGGCAGCAGAGCCACCACGGTGCAGAGGGTGACGATAAGGTAGAACATGGGGTCGGCCATCTGGTTCTGGAGGATCCAGTAAGGATTGGATGGAGGATTACAGGTAACACAGGTGGCGGTGTAGGCCAGCGTCACAATAAAGTACAGCGCCACACTGCCCAGCATGATGATCCAATGGACCAACGTCTACCACGCAATCAGAAACAAAACGAAAGAATTACACAAACTGGCATTAGCATTGTCTGGTTAGTGCAATTTTTATGTCAATAATTTTATGGAACTTCAGATAGTTAATGAGTTAAAAGTGGTTCTATGAAATGGTTTAGATCAGCCAGAAGGGAAGAAACTATCATATCACGGCAAACAATCCGAACAAACCTAAATCTATTCCAAAAACAATAGTATTGGTTTAAATATCACTTCAGCACTCACCCACGATTTGATTTCGATGCCAAGATGCAGCAGGATAGTAAATAAAGCAGCAGTGTTGAGTGGCGTGCCAAAGGTGAAAAGATCAACGTCTGAATCCTGGTAAGCCTAACGGGAGAATAAAACAAGTTGTCAAATGTTTGGCAGAATGACTAATAGTTGAATTTCTGTGACTTATAATGACAGATGTGTTACATACCAAATATGGAATGAAGAAGCAGACCAGACTTTGGTAGAAAGCATCCAATATGGAAATCCAGAAAGTTAAAAAATTGTATTCCTAAATTTAAAAAATAAAGACACATATTTACATACAGTAGTAAAATCAACAAATGAAAGTCATATTTACTAAAACTGTTACTTTGAATTTATTTTCTTCACTAACCCCTTTTCCCTGACCGGTTCGGTACAGCTCAGGAACCCCTTGCAGCACCTCCACTGAAACATCTTTGTCAAAGATGCCAAACATGATGGGTGGAGTGGAGGTGAAGAACAGGTTGAAGAAGATCATCAGCCAGTAGTCGATCATTGTTGTGGCAGTGAATCCACAGAAGAACTGATACCAGAACAGCAAGTTCACGTAGGCCTGAGGAGCGCATTGAAAGGCACTGTTATTTTACTCTTTATAACAGAATACACAGATTATTCATACAGCAGAGCAACACTCACCACATTCTTGTAGAAGAAATAAATGATCATGTTGGCCAGTCGAGTGTAGCACCAGTGTCCATGGACGAGGACAAGCTTTTTCAGGTGCTTGAACCGTGATATGGCAAAGTCACTCGCCATGACCGCCTGAAAAGACCAAAACACCCAACACACGTGATTCAGTCTGGGAGCAGGACGGATGTAAAGGTCTTTACAAAAATCAGTTCCCACCTGCATGCCCTCCTGACCGGATATCCCAATGCCAACATCAGCTGCTTGGATCATGTTGACATCATTTGCACCGTCACCTGGGAAAAAAGTTTGAAGCATTATTACCTGTGTGGTCACTTTTTAAAAATTTGTCAATTTTTTTTTAATTGACCCTAAAGTTTGTCATTTCGTACTTCTTAGTAAACACAGATCACTCAAGATTAGGTGTTTTATGAGAACACTTAATAAATTAGTGCATCAGGTCAACTCTGCTGGTCTACCAGTTGTGTCTGGTTCCACACACACTTGTGTAAATCCAGAGAGAAAAGTCAAATATAATTGGTTCATTTTGCAATAACTGATGTGTAGAACCAAACAAACCTTAAAATTCAACATGATTAAGAAGCGAATAAAAGGAAGAGGTAGCTGCCATAGGAGAAGATTATAAACAAACAGCATAATTTCTACTTTAACTTACCTACAGCTAGCGTCATGACTTTGAGTTTC